CGTCAACACAGATTGCCCCACCTGACAGCACTGAGTGGCTGTTCAGATTGGAGACTGAACTTGTTCACGGGGTCGTTCAGGAGCCAGGGTGGCTTCTCCATGGGCCTTTTCTCCCTCCCTGGGAGGTCATGCACCTCTGCAGCCAGCAGCACAAGGGGAAGACGACAAACACAGGCACGAGGGAGGGGGTCTCCAGCCAGGTCTAGCAGGCCTGCATGTCCACCTTTATGCTCACTCTGTGTGTTATTTACTAGTAGTAGTAGTATTAATTCTTAGGATTTTATTTATTTATTTAAGGGAGAGAGAGAGAGAGTGTGTGCGCATGATCAGTGAAGACAGGCAGAGGGAGAGGGAGGGAGATGCAATCCCAGGAACTCTGAATCATACTCCACAAAACTGAGAAAACACATGAGAGATCTCCATAAAACATACAAAAGGCAATTCCTCAGGCTGAAGGAAAATTTTCTACTTGAACTACAAACCGTCTGAAGGAAATAAGAGCAAGATATGTGTGCACGCATGTGTATGTGTGTGTATATGTGTATGTATAAATATATATGTAAATAATGCTGTCTATTTGAGTATGAATATGTTAACATTTTCTTTTTTTTATTTTTAAGATTTTTTATTTTAATTATTCATAGAGACACAGAGAGAGAGAGGCAGAGACACAGGCAGAGGGAGAAGCAGGCTCCATGCAGGGAGCCTGATGTGGGATTCGATCCCGGGTCTCCAGGATCACACCCTGGGCTGCAGGTGGCGCTAAACCACTGCGCCACCAGGGCTGCCCTTGAGTATGGATATGTAAATGAATATGACTGCTAATGAATATATATGGACATAAAGAAGGGGAATGAACATTGATTTTTTTTTAAAAAAAAGCACTATTGTGGTTGCAGGCATGTAGAATTGAAACATATGAGGGTGATCATAAAAAGGCAGTGTGATGAATCAATCTAGTGAGTCTTAAGACTGAGTGTTTACAAGTAGGAAACCTGCTGTCAGCCACAGAACTGTAAGTAGACAGGAGGCACTGACTCTCCAGCTTGACCACCAAGTGAACTGAAATAATGATGTGTATCTGCAAGCACAGGCATAGGAACGGATATAAATGTATACGTATATGCAGAACTAGAAAGTCAGCAGAGGAGAAGTAACATCATTGAAGATAATTAATTAAAAAAAAGACATAAAGTTTAATCTCTAAGGGAGAAAACGGAATAAATAAGATTGAAATGGAATAATAAAAATAATTCATCAAACCAAAAAAGCAGAAAGAGGGATAAAGAAGCAGGGGCAGATTGGTGACAAAAAACAGCAAGCCTCGAATGTAAGTATGATCATGCCTCACGTATTCCATGGAACATAAGTCAAGCAACAAGCAGCACCTTCCAGCAAAAGCCGGCGGCCCATCAAAACAATAGCCCAGTCTCTGCTGTTGACAGGGAGCCCGTGCAGACTCCAGACACAAAGTCCACAATAAAAGATGGGACAATGGGCAGCTCACAGACACAAACCAAAGGAAGCAGTGAGCTCTCCTCGTAGAAGCCAAGCTGACTCAAAGTGAAGACTTCCTGCCCGAAACAAGTGGGACATCTCACACCAGAGAGCGTTGGGGCGGCGGGATGACATGCACAGCCTGTGTCATAGGCACATAGCAATATGCCCGCAAAGTAAAGGAAGGAACGGACAAATTTCAAACCAGCCCTGGAGGCTTCACACGCCGCTCTCAAGCTAACAGCCAGAACACTCAGGAAAACCCACTGCCAAGGAGAGACCGAGCACCTGCACCCTCTGGCTCTACTACTACACACAGTAACTCAGAATATATGTCCTTCGGCATTTCAGACGGAATGATAGACAACACAGACTGTATGCTGACGATGAACCAAGTCTCAACAGATTGTAAAAGACTGACTTCCGGCTGACTGTGATCCTGAAAACTAGATTTCAGTGGGGAATCCACAACACGGAGACAACTGGGAAATCCCTTCCTGCTGAGACAGGAAACAACACACGTGTTCGTGAGCCATGTGTCGAGGGACACATCACAGGAAAACTCGGGAAATAGTCCAGACTGAATGTAATGAAAACAAATTTTGCTTGGGGTGTAGATGAAAGGCACAAACAGGCTTGCACGTGTCTATATTAGAGAAGAAGAAATGCTGATAATCAGGTGAAGAAGCTTCTCGTTTAAGAAGCCAAAGAAGAGGGCAGCCCAGGTGGCAGTGGTTTAGCGCTGCCTTCGGCCCAGGACATGATCCTGGATATGCAGAACTAGAAAGTCAGCAGAGGAGAAGTAACACCATGAAGATAATTAATTGAAAAAAGAAATAAAGCTGAATCTTGAAGGGAGAAAACGGAATAATTAAGATTGAAAGGGAACAATGAAAATAATTCATCAAACCAAAAAAGCAGAAAGAGGGATAAAGAAGCAGGAGCAGACTGGTGACACAAAACAGCAAGCCTTGAATGTAAGTATGATCGTACCTCACAGATTCCATGGAACATAAGTCGAGTAACAAGCAGCACCTTCCACGATCCTGGAGACCTGGGATCGAGCGTCAGACTCCCTTCATGGAGTCTCCCTCTCTCTCTCTGCCTGTGCCTCTGCCTCTCTCTCTGTGTCTCTCATAAATAAATAAAATCCTAAAAAAAAAAAAAAAAAAAAAAAGAAGCCAAAGAAGAATAGCAAATAGAACAGAAGAGAGAAGCAACTACATTACAAATATAAAAGCAGAGCTTCATTAAAAGAAAGCAGGTGCATGCTGGGGAAAATCATAAAGCTAAATGCTAGTGGTTTGAAAAACTAACATAAATGTGATTTAAAAAAAAAAAAAAAACTAGGGCACAAAAACGTAAGCACTGGAGACATGATGATGGAGACCAGTAAGTGCTGGGACAGGCCACTCTGCCCAGAGTGTCAGCATCACCAGCCAAGTGCACAGTGTGCAGCAGCTAGCCCCGTGTGCCTGGTGTTGCTCCTTAGGGATTCCCCTGGCCTTTCCTCACAGCCAGCGAGGGAGACACATTCCCAGATTTCCCTGCCACAGCCGCTCCAGCTTTAAACTTGCTGTGTCAGGGACCGGTCTGTCCACCGTGGATGCTTCCAAAAACCAGGTATGTGTGCCCACTTTGCCAGAACAGTGACGAGCTACCTGCCTTATGTAGCTTACTTCCCGACTGAAATTCCATCAGACAGACTTGCCTGGTGGAGCCAGGACTCCAGCTGCAGTTCTGTATTCCTTTATCCTTGTGTTAAGGAAGCACATTTTCCCAGGTAATAATTCAACTCTTAAATTGGCCTTGTTTTTGCAGGGGTGGTTCAATATTTGCAAATGAAACAGGTAAATGGCTACCACACATGTGAAAAAAAATGCTCAAGGTCCCTCATCATCAGGGAAATGCAACTCAAAAACACAATGGCAAACCACCATCAGATGGCTGAAATGAACAACTCCGGAAACCACAGATGCTGGTGAGGATGCAGAGAAAGGGGAACCCTCATGCACTGTTGATTCATGGGAATGCAAGCTCCTGCAGCCACTCTGGAAACAGTAGGGAGGTTCCTCAATAAGTTAGAACTAGAGCTACCCTACGACCCAGCAATGGCACAACTAAGTATTTACTCAAAGGACACAAAGCTACAGATTCAAAGTGGTCCTTGCACCCCAATGTTTACAGCAGCAATGTCCACAAGAGCCAAACTATGGAATGAACCTAGATATCTGTTGACTGATGAATAGATGAAAAAGAGGTGGTATTTCTATACAGTGGAATACTACAGAGCTGGCAAAGAGAATGAAATCTTGTCCCTTGCCACAATGTGGGTGGAACTAGACGGTGGCAGGCTAAGCAAAATAAGTCAGAAATATAGACAAATATCATATGATTTCACTCACATGTGGAATTTAAGAAACAAAAGCAATGTACATAAGGGAAGTGAAGGAATGGAAAAATCAAATAGAATGAAAATAGCAAGGGAGGCAAAGCAACAGAGACTCAACTATAGGAAACAAACTGACGGTTGCTGGAGGGGAGGGAGGTGGGGGATGAGGTGTTTGGGTGATGGGCGTTACAGAGGGCACTTGATGTAACCAGCACTGGTTATTATTGCCATTGAGAATCACTATATGCTACCCCCAAATTAGTAATAAACATTGAATTTTTAAAAAGTAAAAAAAAAAAGTTCCTTTCTCTGATGTTTGATAGGTCCAAATTTTTACAGGTATTTCTTTTAGTCGTCTGGAATAACTCCTGTGTTTTAATACTTAACCCAAAATTTCAGTTAGAATTGAAATCAGTGGGGTAATATGCATATATTTTTGAAAATGATGCAAACCATCGTTTTGGCAGGGAGAGAGATTCCTATCTCGCTCTAGTTATGAAAGTGGATCCCAAAAGAATATACTTAAAGTAGGAAAATATTTAGTTAATTAATTAATTTGAGGGGGGGGAGAGAATGAGTCATGGGGAGCAGGGGAAGAAAGTGGGGGAGAGAGACAGACAGACTCCCCGGTGAGCAGACAGCTGGATGTGGGACTCCATCCCAGGACCCTGGGATCATGATCTGAGCTGAAAGCTGACACTTCACCAAGGGAGCCACCTAGTCGCCCCAGGAAAATATTTTTATCAAGAAAATCTTGATAGAGTCTACAAATCTAGCCCTCTGGATAAATAGAAGGCAGAGATAAGTAGATAAATATCTATCCATGGAGAGTCGGCTAGTGTTAAAGTGAAATAAATATGATAAAATATCCTTCATCACATCAATACCATACCTATATACTATTGCTCCATCTTAGATTGTCATCAGTAGCATACAATTACCTAACTTTTTTACTCTTCATAAAAGTTTCACAAAGTTTTTGGCTATATTTGATTTTCTTTACTGGGACTCAGGTATAACTCAAAGGAAGATTTTTATCTGAATAAAAAGGGCCCATTGTTGAAGTAAATAAGAGTATAATCTAGAGATTTATAAACACCGATCATTGCCAATATAAATACTAATTTATATTACATGTGGGCATCACAGAAGACAATAAAAAGAGAAGTGTAACCGAGATACGGAGAAAATACAAAAGCAAATAATGAGGGATTCAGGTCTCTTTTTCCCAACACAAAATCAGGTGCTCCATCTACTATATGTAAGTAGCTGTAAAATCTCATTATAAACCAAACATCCACAGGGCTCCCTCTGGCCCTCGTGCATCACCGGATATGGTACTCCCTGAAGCACTTGGCGTGGACACCCTTCTGGCATTTTTCACAGCGTGTGTTGGTCTGTGAGTGGCAGAGGGCACACCGGGTCCTCTTGTCCTGGTGGACGATCCAGTGCCCAATCATGTCAAAGCGGCTCTCAGTTTCTAGCCGCCTGCTTCGCCTCCCTTGGGAGGACACGTTAGCATTGCTCTCTAGGTACACACAGGCCACATATCTCCGGAAGGCCAGGAGGTCCACCTGGGCATCATGGCTGCAGATCCTGTGCAGCTGCCAGGCATTATTCAGGGCGGCATCGATGACATAGCCAATGAAGCTTGAATACCACTTCATGCCCCGGATCTTCACCTTGTACTTAGCAATGTTCTGGTCCATCCGACTGACACCGCCCCCCTTCTCCTGGTACAGCTTCACCAGAGAGGGCTGATGGACCTGGGTCCGTGTTTTGGCTGCTCCTGAAGGATGGCTGGTCAGCCCCACCGGCTCTATGCCCACAGCATTGGAGCAGAAGTTGACCACACTGCCATCGTGCCAGCGGCACACGATAATCTCCTCGCTCTCATCGACTTTATAATCAAATGAACCTCTCTTCATTTTCTTAAGTTCCTTGGGATCTTTGAGGGGACATCGCTCAGTCCTATACTCATGAACAGTTCCTGTGGCCTTCACCCCCTTTTTCTTCAAAATGGACAGGAGTTTGACACTTGTAAAAACCTTGTCGAAAAATATGTGGTAAGGCCGACAGCCACGCTCCTGAAGCGCATCCACAAACTTCACCACCATACTGCCTCCTAGGTCCAGACCCCTGTCTGATTTGGTGAACAGCGTGCCCTGTGAGGGCTCAAACCACACCAGGTAGCCCCTGCTGGTTGTCCCACACCAGATCTTGTAGCCCAGCTGCATGGGCCTCCCTGCAGGCAGCTGCTTGGATCCCCGGTGCCCAAAGTACTCACACGTGGACTCTCCAAAGCTGTAGAACTCTTCCAAGGGTGCGTGCTTCTGGAAATTGCAATTCATCCGGACGATGAGAGGCCTGACTTTGGCAAACCTATCACTTTCATCCAGCTCATTGTTATCTGCAAAATGCAGGTAGGAGAAGATCACTTCGAACCTGTCCCTTCTGATTGCATCAGCCACAAGATGATGATGGGAATCAGGAGAGGTTTCCCAAAACATCCTTCTCCTTGGATAGGATATATACCCACTTAAAATCAAAATGCCCAGAACACACTTTAATTCCTGGGCTGTGAGCCCCAGGTTGACATTTTTCTGCCAAGCATAACGATTGGTTTCATTAACAATGAAACTAATTGTTCCTTCATCAAAAAACAACTCAAAGAGGCCAACAGGACTCAGTTCCTGGCTCTTGAGATCCTCTATGTGAGGATCGGATGCAGTCCAGCTGCAGAAGTCAGCTTGGATATCTCTCTTGGTCCAAATACGCCGAGGCTCCACCACTGCCCTCTGTCTCTTCAAGGCCGGCTGCAACAGCTGCTCCTTCTCCTCCTCCTCCTCCTCCTCCTTCTCCTCCTCCTCCTTCTCCTCCTCCTCCTCTGCGCCAGAGTCCTCAGGCACCACGGAGGCATGCAGGACGCTGCCGGGCAGGTGGAAGCCTCGTCGGCCACCTTCATCCCCTGAGTCCTCGTCAGTGAAGTCCCCTGAGGCACTGTCAGGTGGCGCAATGAAGATCTCCTGCCTGCTGTGGCTGCGCTCCTCCTCCTTCTCCTCCAGTGCATTCAGAACCTCGAGCAGCTTCGCAGACTTTGCCTTTGAACTGGCACCTCTCCCAACAGTGAAGCTGCTGCAATGACAGGAACCAAGGGGGGGAGAGGCCACAAGGAGACAGTGTTTCAGCAGGAAACTCTGTTAAAGCATTGCCTGGAGAAGAGGGCTCCCACCTCAGAGCACCTGGGCCCCAACAGCACGTCACACCCAGCACCATCAGGCTCCAGGCCGCGTGACTGAGTTTCAGGCCAGCACATGTTACACTTTCAAGTGCAGGAGTATTTTAGTGGGAGGACCTCCAGGGACATATTCCATTCTTCTTTCTTTCTTAAAGTGTTTTGAAGAGAAGATCGCCTCTAGTGATAAGTCCAGGTGGCACTGTCATCCCCAGGGAGGAACCACCACCAGGGAGCCTGAGCTGCTGAAGTGACACCAGTGATGTCCTCTGACTCAGTGGCCTCAGCAGCCCTACTTTCATCCCTGTCTTACCTGGGTCTTCCCTTTCCCTTACGAATTGAGCAATTATAAGTTTCGTCTTTCCCAAATTTCCAAACTCTCCCTATTTGAAGCCTTACTACCCCAATTCAGGACCTGAACAGATTCAGACATGTTTTTAGATGGTTCCCTCAATATTAGACATCTTACTACGTAGCAGCCGCAATTCAGAAGCCAGATAGACTCACAAAACATGGAAACCCCTGCCTTTCTAACTCTTCCTGTGCACGTGGGAACTAACTGGATGTCAAGAGATACTTGTGTTTAATGAGCACCGACTGTGATGAGGTGCTTCTCAGGGCCTGGCGGTGGACGTGCTCCACTCCTGATTTGCCCTGGAGGAGAAGGAGGACAGACAGGGAACTCTGCGGGACGGCACCAGGTTCAGAGAATACAGCAAAACACTAGGACTGGGGCTGCTATTTCCGATAGATCATGGGTGAAGGCTCACCACACGGGTGACCTGAGAAAGAGAGTGGGCCTTACAGAGAGCTGGAGATGGGGTGTCCCTGGCACAGGAAGAGAGCTGCAGGTACAAGTCCCGGAACCCAAAAGGACAGGCTATCTGCAAGCAAGGAGGCTTCAGATATAGTAACAGGGGAGCAAGGAGCCCAGGACACCCGGACCAGAGCCCCAGGGGTCTAGAGGCCCCATCAGGACATTCAGGTGTGTTCAGCTGTCACAGGAAGCCCTCTGTAGTGGGACGGAGGAGGGCCACCAGGGTGTGAGAAAGGACAGGGTGGGGAAGGTGGGCACTACTGATGTCCTGCGCCACTTAAAAGAATTTCAAACCCAAGGGAGGAAACAGACTTTACACAGAGGCAAAGTCTCTGAACACCTGCCCTTGGACTCTCGAGTTCAGACTCACTTTGTGATGCTGACTTCATCAGCCTTTGTGCTAGAACCAAGGCCTGGGAGGTCTGACCTCAGGGAACTAAGGTACTTCTTATGCTCTGTGTGGGCCAGGAAGGGAACCTAGTTTTCAAGGATACAAAAGCCCTCCCCATGGACCTCAGACCAAGCGCTTCTCTGGGATCAGTAGCCATCTTCACAAGTGTCCCTGCCTCTCTTGCAAGCAGCAGATCCAGGCCAGGATAGCCAGGGCTTCCACCAGTCTCACTACCTCACTCTAAACACCCCCTGCGCATGGCTGTTCAGACTGCTGGACAAGGGGAGGAGGAATTAAGAGGAAGGAGTAGGAGGGCAGGCTTGCCTCATCCCATGACCACAGCTAGAGAAATACCAAATCATTCTGAACACCTAAGAAACTGATCTGAGGATGGAGAGAAAAGCACAGAACTTGGAGAAAAGGGGCTACAGCCTGGAAGGTAGGTCTGGGGGAGACAGGATCTGGGGGAGGTGTAGGGGGGAGGAGGCCCTGGTCAGGGAGAGAGGAGAGTGCGTGTGGGAGAGGACATGCGTGGGGCACAAGAGAAACATTTCCCCAAAGCCATCGAGGGGAGAAAGCGAAAGGGGCTGATTATAGAAAGTTCTTGGAAGCAGGGGAGCTCAGAGTCTGGAATCTCAGAACTCCACACCATCCCCATGGGTGGAGCCTGGCCAGCTCTGAAGTGCTCCTGGGGTGGAGGGGGGGGGAGGCAGAGGTCCAGCAGCAGACAGCGTGTCTGAGGATCCCTGGGGCCCACTGGAGTGCATCTGGGAGAGGTGGCACTGCCACTCAGGGACAAAACAGGCAGCAGACAGCATTGAACTGCCCCACGCATTACCATAGGAGCAGAGACAGCTGCTGAGGGCAGCTCACCTGGACACTGGCTTTTTCACTGTGCTTCACCATAAACTCCAAGTCCCGGTGTGTTCACGTGATGGCCCTTTAAGGACATAGTGGCACCGGCCACAATGGGCAGACCCTCCCAGACGATTAGTGTGGCTCCATGCCACACTGGGTCCCTAAAATTTGGAGTTTTGAAACCCAGCCAGCATGCATGAGATAAAAAAGGAGCACTGAGCCACTGGGGGTCAGACAGCTCAGACACAGACAGGGGGAAGGCAGGAATCTGAGGGAAGCCTGGGGCCTATGAGGGAACATGGTTCCCTCTTCTATGATGGCTTCCTGAATAGCTGTGGGTATGAACACTGAGTGCATGATGTCATTTTTATCCGCTCCTAGTCAACACTGAGGACTTCAGGCAGCAGTACAGAGAACAAAGTGGGAGCTTGAGAAACTTACACCGATCCCCATCCCCTTATGCTCTGCAGGTGCTTTCTTCAAAGGGCAAGTGTACCTGAGAGCCAGAAAGGCAGCTGGGCCTCTCCCTCCCCAGACAACCAGCACCCACTCCCCACACCCAAGACTACAGACCATGGAGTGATACAACACCAGCTGTTGTGGATACTGGGTCTAGCCTTTCTACCAAGATGACCACCACACACCTAGGTAAAAGTCACCACACACTGGACAAGGGCACACTACAGGCAGGCGGAAACACTGCACAGGTGACCTAAGGGAAAGAGCTGCCAAAACACAGCAGCAGAGTACACAGCATACTCCAGACACTTCCTGAAGCCCAGGCCCTGCCTGGTCAGCATACAACCTCTTCTTAATACAGTCATCACCCCTATGACAAGGAAACATAAAGGTTTTCCTAACACCTAGAAGACAGAGACTTAGGCAAAATGCCAAGAGGGAAGACTTCATCCCAAAAGAAAGAACAAAAAAGGTCATAGCCAGGGATCTATTCCAACAGATATAAGTAATATGCCTGACCCAGAATTTAAAACAACATCTAAGGGCAGCCCTGGTGGCACAGCGGTTTAGCACCGCCTGCAGCCCGGGGTGTGATCCTGGAGACCTGGGATCGAGTCCCACGTCGGGCTCCCTGCATGAAGCCTGTTCCTCCCTCTGCCTGTGTCTCTGCTTCTCTCTCTCAATCTCTCTCTCTCTGTGTCTCTCATGAATAAATAAATAAAATCTTTAGAAAAATGAATGAATAAAAATAAAACAACATCTAAGGATACTCTCTAGGCTTAAGAAAAGCGTAAGAGACACCAGAGAGTCCCTTACCACAGAGATAAAAGATCTAAACACTAGTCAGTCTGAAATAAAAAATCCTGTAATCGAGATGCAAAATCCACCAGATACAATGAGTGCAAGGATAGAAGAAGCAGAAGAATGAATACGTGATTTAAAAAAATTAAATTATGAGAAATAATGAAGCTGAAAAGTCAAAGGAAAGAAAAAGATCACGAATATAGACTTAAAGAACTGGGTGACCTCATAAAGCATAATAACAGGCAGAGCATAGGAGTTCCAGGGAAATGGGCCAGACAGCTTACTCTAGGAAGTTATACTGAAGGCCTCCCTAATCTGCTGAAGGAAGGTGACATCCAAATCCAGGGGGCACAGAGAACTCTGACCAGAATCAACAAAAGCAGGCCAACACCAAGACATATTAGAGTAGAATTTGCAAAATATAGAGATGAGGAAAACATCCTGAGAGCAGCAATGGAAAAGAAACCCCTAAATTAAATTACTGGGTCACAAATCAGGTCTTAACCAATACCAAAGGATTGGGATTGTCCCCTGCATAATTACAGTGGAAGAGAAATAAGGTTAGCAGCAGATCTCTCCACAGAAACCTAACAGATCAGAAGGGAGAAGCATGATATACTCAACGTGCTGAATGGGAATAATATGCAGCCAAAAATACTTTTCCAGCAAGGCTGTCATTCAGAATAGAAGGGGAGAAAAAGAGTTTCCCAGACAAAAACAATAGGAGTTCATGACCACTACATTACCCCCGCAAGAAATATTAAAGGGAACTTTTCAAGAGGTAAAGAAAGATCAAAAGCCATAAAGACTACAAAGGAGGAGAGAAAATCTACAGGAACAGCAACCTCACAAGTAACACAATGGCACTAAATTCATATCTATCAACACTCACTCTGAAGGGAAACAGACTAACTGCTCCCACCAACAGACATAGGATATCAGAATGGATAAAAAACAAGGCCCATCTCTATGCTGCCTACAAGAAACTCACTTTAGACTTAAAGACACTTGTTGATTCAAAGTGAGCGGATGGAGAACCATGTACCATGCAAATGATCATCAAGAGAAAGTCAGCAGCCACACTTACATCAGACAAACTAGACTTTAACTAAGACTGTAAGAAGACATGAAGAAGGGCACTATAATATAATAAAAGGATCTATCCAACAAGAACATCTAACAGTTGTACATATTTATGCCCCCCAAACTGGAGCGCCCAAACCTAAAAATCAATTAAATACAAACTTAAAGTCACTGAAATAATATTAGGAGACTTTAACACCTCACTTAGAGCAACAGGCAGATCATCTACCTGAAAATCAACAAGGAAAAAATGGTTTAAATAACAAACCGGACTGGATGGTCTTAACAGATATATTCCAAACATTTTGTCTGAAAGCACCAGAATACACATTCTTCTTGAATGCACATGGAACATTCTCCAGAATAGATCGCACACTGGGTTGCCTATCGGGCCACAACAAATACACAAAGACTGAGATCATATCATGCATAATGGCTCACCACAATGCTATGAAACCTAAAGTCAATCACAAGGAAAAATTTGGAAAAACCACAAATGCATGGAGGTTAAAGAAGACCATACTAAAGAATAAATGGGTTAATCAGAAAATTAAAAAGGAAATAAAAAATACATGGAAGCAAATGAAAATGAAAACAAGCCAGTCTCAAACTTTTGCTGACCTTGGAGGAAAAGCTCTATTTGTCTATAAGTGGTTCTAAGAGGAAAGTATACTGCAATACAGGCCTACCTCAAGATGCAAGAATAGGTGCAAATACACAACCTAGCCTTACCCTAAGGGAGCTAGGAAAGGTACAGTAAGTAATGCCTAAAGGCAAAAGAAGGAGAGAAATAATCATGATTGAGCAGAAATAAATGATAAAGAAACAAAAAAAGCAGTAGACCAGATCAGTGAAACTAGGAGCTGGAGGAAAGGGATAAATTCCTAGAAACATATAAACTACCAAGAGTGAATCAGGAAGAAACAAAAAATGTGAACAGATCCATTACCAGCAAATAAATTATATCAGTAATTAAAAATTTCCCAATGAAAAATCAGAGAGGGTGACAAAGCAGTGAGACTCCTAACTCTGGGAAACAAACAAGGTGTAGTAGAAGGGGAGGCGGGAGGGGGGATGGGGTGATGGGGTGACTGGGTGATGGGCACGGAGGAGGGCATTTGACAGGTTGAGCACTGGGTGTTATACTGTATGTTGACAAACCGAGCTCCAATAAAAAAAATACAAAAAAAAAATACAAAAAAAAAAATCTCCCAACAAATAAAAGTCAGGGTCACATGGTTTCTCGGGAACTTTTACCAAACATTTAAGGAAAAGCTACTACATATTCTTTTCAAATTGCTCCAAAAAGTAGAAATGGAAAAAACCCTCCAAATTCATTTTTTATGAAGACAGCATTACCTTGACTCCAAAACCAGACAAAGACCCCAACGAGGCCAAAATCCCTGATGAATGTGCATGCAAAAATTCCAAACAAGATACTAGGAAATCAAATCCACTACTAGACTAAAAGAATCATTCAGCACAATCAAGTGAGATCTATTCCTGGGCTACAAGGGGGGTTCGACATCCACAAGTCAATCAATATCATATACCACATTAATGAAAGAAAGGTAAGAACCACATGATCCTCTCCATAGATGCAGAGAAAACATCTGACAAAGCACAACATCCATTCTTGATAAGAACCCTCCACAAAGTCTGGATAGAGGGAACATAGCTCAACATCATAAAGGCTATGGATGAAAGACCCACAGCTAATATCGTCCTCAATGGGGGCAAATAGAGCTTTTCCTCCAAGGTCAGCAACAAAACCGGGATGTCCACTCTCACCATTGTTATTTAAAATAATACCAGAAGTCCATTTGAACCAGCAAATAAGTCAAACTTACACTATTTGCAGATAACATGATACTCTATTTAGAAAACCCAACAGAATCCAGCAAAAAATTGCTAGAACTGATAACACGAAATGAGGAAAGTTGCAGGATACAAAATCAATGTAGAAATCTCTCATATTTCTATACACCAATTATGAAGCAGCAGAAAAAGAAATCAAGGAATTGATCTCATTTAAATGCACCAAAACAATTGGATACCTAGGAATAAACCTAGCCAAAGAGGTAAAGGATCTGTCCTCTGAAAACGACAGAACATTTGTGAAAGAAATTGAGGAAGACACAAAGAAATGGAAAAACATTCTATGTTCATGGATTGGGAGAATATTGTGAAAAAGTCTATCCTACCCAGAGGGATCTAGACATTCGTGGAATCCCTATCAAAATACCACAAGTATTTTTCACAGAGCTGGAACACACAACACTAAAATTTATATGGAACCACAACAGACCCTAAAAAGCCAGAGGAATGTTGAAAAAGAAAACCAAAGCTGGGGCATCACAATGCTGACTTCAAGCTGCATTACAAAGCTGTGGTCATCAAGACAGTGTGGTACTGTCACAAAAACAGACACATAGATCAGTGGAACAGAATGGAGAACCCAGAAATGGACCCTCAATTCTATGGTCAACTAATCTTTAGCAAAGCAGGAAAGAATAGCCACTTGAAAAAACACAGTCTATTCAATAAGTGGTGTTGGGAAAATTGGACAGCCACATGCAGAAAATTGAAACTGGACCGTTCTCTTACATCACACAATAAGACAAACTCAAAAGGGTTGAAAGATCTAAATGTGAGACAAGAATCCATCAAAATCCTAGAGGAGAACACAGGCAACACCCTTTTTGAACTTGGCCGCAGTAACTCCTTCCAAGATACATGTACGAAGGCAAGGGAAACAAAACCAAAACTGAACTACTGGGACTTAATCAAGATGAAAAGCTTCTGCACAGCAAAGGAAACAACCAACAAAACTAAAAGGCAACCTATGGACTGGGAGAAGATGTTTGCAAATGACCTATCAGATAAAGAGCTCTTATCCAAAATCTACAAAGGACTTATCAAACTCAACACCCAAAAACCAAATAATCCATTTAAGAAATGGGGCGGTGACAGAATAGACGTTCTTCCCAAGAAGACCTACAATGGCCAACAGGCACATGGGAATACTCAACATCACTCATCATCAGGGAAATACAAACCAAAATCATGATGAAATCCCTTCTCACACCTGTCAGAATGTCTAAAATTAACAACACAGAAAACAACAGATGTTGGCAAGGTTACAGAGAAAGGGGAACCCTCTTACACTTTGGGGGACTGCAAACTGGTGCAGCCACTCTGGAAAACAGTATGGAGGTTCCTCAAGAAGTTAAAAATAAAACTACCCTATGTGTGACCTAGCAATAGCACTATTAAGTATTTACCCAGAGGATACAAGAATTTTCTCTGAAGGGGCACATGCACCCCCTAATATTTACAGCGGCATTATCAACATTAGACAAACTATGAAAAGAGCCCAAATGTCCATGGACTGATGAACAGACAAAGAAGATGTCGTACGTAGACAGATAGATAGACAGACAGACAATGGAATATTACTCAGTCATCAAAAGATGATATTCTCTTTTGCAATGCTATGGAAGGAACTAGAGTGTATTATGTATGTTGAGCAAAGTCAGTCACTCAGAGAAAGTACCAGATGATTTCACTCATATGTGGAATTTAAAAAAACAACAACAACCAAACACACGAATATAGGGGAAGGAAGGAAAAGAGTGGGAGGTATACTATAAGAGATTCTTTAGTACAGAGAACAAGCAGGCTTGCTGGAGGGAAGGTGGGCATGGGATTGGCGTGGTGATTGGCACTGAGGAGGGCACTTGTGATGAGCATTGGTGTTATAGGTAAGTGAAGAATTCTAGTCTTGAACCAATATTACAGTACATGTTAACTAACTGGAATTTAAGTAAAAACTTGAAAAAAATAAGGAAAGAAACTCATGGAATGGTAAAGCTTGCAAGGACCATGGTAGTCCACTAGCAAGCACCTTGTGCGTTAAAAGATGAGGAAAGGGAGCCTGGATGGCACAGTCAGTTATGTGACCGACTGTTGGTTTCAGCTTGGATCCTGATCTCAGGGTCATGAGGTCGAGTCCGACATCGGGCTTCGTGCTCCATCTGGAGCGTGTTCTCCCTCTCTCTCTAACCTCCCACTTGTGCTCTTTCTCTCTCTCTCTCTCTCTCTCTCTCAATAAATAATAATCTTAAAAAAAAATATAAGATGAGAAAAATAAATCACATTTTCAGACACAGTGTAGACCCTGGAGCTACAAAGCCTCACCTATACCACTACACTACCCTGCTTGCCTCATCTTTCCTCAATCTCCCTTTTCTGCTCTCTCTTCCTCCTTTCTCTTTCCTAGACACCATATGCTTAGTGAGGCCAGCAGGACCAAGAGCTAAAAATGTCCTGGGCATGGCCTTTCATAAAGGCTTTCATCAAAGGCACTTACCTTGAAGTTGAAGCCATGATGAGCCAGGAACAGAGACTTGTCTATATGTGCAGAGTCAAAGAATCTGTAAGACAGCAGAGGTCGACTTTTTAAAAATTGTATGCTAATTAGCAAGGCAATAGGACCTTCTCCACCATTTAAGTGAACAACAAAAACATGTTTAGCTTAATGTTCACCAGCAGTAAGCAGAGGATGGATTGAGTACACACACAGCAGAGGGGGTCTAGTCAACTGGCCCATCAGAGGGAAAAACAACGAGCTCTCCACCTCACTGCAAAACATATTATAAGGTCAAAGGTTTTCACCATCAAAATTACTGGCATGTGGGCCGGATGAGTCTCTTGCTGGGGGCTGTCCTGTGAATTACGGGATTTTAACAGCTTTCCGGAACTCTACCCACTAGATGCCAGTAAAACACCGGCATACTTTCCCTACTTGTGAAATCAAACATGTTTCCAGACATTGCCATTACGTCCCATGGGGAACAAAATTGCAGCTGGTTGACAACTCTTATTCTATATCAAGACTACCAATAGATCGTACTGTAAAGAGGAAATACTGTCTACTACTGCTGCCCAATATGGTATGTGGTTATTACAATCTGATATGTATGGCTAGTGTGATTGAGAAAGTGAATTTTTAATTTTATATAATTTTAATTAAATTTAATGTAAATTGTCACATGTGCCTGGCCAGTGACCACTGTATTCGTGAAGTCCCAGATGTATAAAGAACTACTTTTTTTTTTAAATTTTCATTTATTTATGATAGTCACACACAGAGAGACAGAGAGGCAGAGACACAGGCAGAGGGAGAAGCAGGCTCCATGCACCGGGAGCCCAACGTGGGACTCGATCCCGGGTCTCCAGGATCGCACCCTGGGCCAAAGGCAGGCGCTAAACCGCTGCGCCACCCAGGGATCCCCTAAAGAACTACTTATGGAACAACATTCTCTTAACAACCAACAGGTCAAAGAAGAAAAAATTCTTTCATAGAATAACTTAAGGGGGAAATTAAAAAGTATCTTGAGGCCATCTGGGTGGCTCTTTGTTAAGCATTAAGATCTGACTCCTGATTTGGCTCAGATCATGATCTCAGGATCTTGAGATCGAGCCCTGTGTGGGGATCTGCAGTGAGTGTGGAGCCTGCTTAAGATTCTCCCTCTCCTTTCCCCCTGCCCCAACCCACTTCTGGGTTCTCTTTCTTACATAAATACTTAGTATCTTGAAACAAATGAAACAAGGAAACACAATATGCCAAAACATTTAGGATGTGGCAAAAGATTTCTAGGAGAGCTTAATGCTATAAATACATACAGAAAAAAAATATATATATATAAATATCTCAAGGAACTCTAGAAAGAATAGATGAATGGATAAAGAAGAAGTGGTACATATGCGATGGAGTATTATTCAGCCATACAAAAGAATGAAATCTCGTCATTTGGAATGACGTACATGGAGCTAAGAGTAATGCTAAGTGAAATAAGTGAGTCAGAGAAACACAAATGCTATATGATTTCATTCCTAAGTGTAATTTAAGAAACAAAAAAATGTGCAAAGGGGGGCAAATGTGCAAAACTGATCTTGGTTCAGTTGGTGAAGCATCTGCCTTTGGCTCAGGTCATGATCCCAGGATCCTGGGATCGTGTCCCACATTGGACTCCCTGCTCAGCGGGGAGTATGCTTCTCCCTCTTTCCCTCCCTGCTGCTTGTGTTCACTTGCTCTCTCACAGAAATAAATAAAAATTTTAAAATGAGCTAAGGAAGAGAGGAAGAGAGAGAAACCAGGAAATTACTCTTAACTATAGAGAACAAATTGATGGCTACCAGAGGGGAGTGGGGGATGGGTAAAATAAGTCATGGGATTAAGGACTGCACTTGTGATAGGCACCAGGTGACATATGGAAGTGCTGAATCACTATACTGTACACCTGAAACTAACATAACATTCTATATTAACTAAATTTGAATTTAAAATTAAATTAAAATTCAAAAAATTATTTATTTATTTATTTATTTATTTATTTATTTATTTATTTATTTATTTATGATAGTCACACAGAGAGAGAGAGGCAGAGACAGATGCAGAGGGAGAAGCAGGCTCCATGCACCGGGAGCCTGACGTGGGATTCGATCCCGGGTCTCCAGGATTGCGCCCTGGACCAAAGGCAGGTGCTAAACCGTTGCGCCACCCAGGGATCCCAAAAAAAAATTTTTTTTTAAAGAATAACTGGTTCAGTGGTTGAACATCTGCCTTTGGCTCAGGTTGAGATCCCGGGGTCCTGAGACTGAGTATCACAATGGGTTCCCTACAGGGAGCCCGCTTCTCCCTCTGCCTATGTCTCTCTTTCTCTCTGTGTGTCTCTCTCATGAATAAATAAATAAAATCTTTAAAAAAAAAAAGAATAACCTAAGCCCAAAGTTATCAGAAGAAAGGAAATAAAAGATTAGAGCCAAAATAATTAAAATAGAGAACATAAAAATAATAGGAGAGATGAACAAACTAAGAACTAGTTTTTTTGAAAAGATCAACAAAATTGATAAACTCCTAGCTACGGTATCCTAGAAATAAAGAGAATACAAATCAACAAAAATACATCTCAAAGAGGAGAGACTAAAACTGATACCACAGAAACAAAAGATCATAGAGGCTACTACAAATTGATTATTGATTATATGCCAACAAACTGCACAACTTGGGATCCCTGGGTGGCGCAGTGGTTTGGCGCCTGCCTTTGGCCCAGGGCGCGATCCTGGAGACCTGGGATCAAATCCCACATCGGGCTCCCGGTGCATGAAGCCTGCTTCTCCCTCTGCCTGTGTCTCTGCCCCTCTCTCTCTCTCTGTGACTATCATAAATAAATAAATTTAAAAAAAAAACAAAAAACAAAAAACAAACTGCACCACTTAAGAACGGCTGAAATTCTCAGAAACACACAATCTATCAAGACTGAGCCAGGAGAAACAGATCATTGAAACAGTCCAATTAAGTAGGAGAAAGACTGAATCAGTAACGAAAACTCTCCCAACCAAAAAACAAACGAACAAACCAAAAATAAACAAAAACCCAAATGTACACACTGGTGAATTTTACCCAACACATAAAGAACAATTAATGCCAGCTCTTCTCAAACTCTTCCAAACACACACACACAAAACCAACCCAAACTCATAAGAGGAGCATTACCACAATACGAGCATTTGAAAAGGACATTATAAGAAAAGAATGGAATATAAGGACAGTTCAAAAGACAAATATAGAGGATGTGATGTCAGCAGATGGTAGACTTCAAAGTTCCAGGCCCTCATTACCCATGGAAATACAAGTTAACAACAAAGATGAACCCGAATATCTTTGTGAGAACTCTAGAGCCCACTTGAAATGGTGTACAACCCAGGCCAACAGAAAAGTAAGATGGGATTCCCTTTAAAAGCATAGGAGATTTCATGGCATTTTGTGCACAGATGGATCTCTCCCCACTCAGATCAGTAAGGCACAGCCAGGGTAAATACAGTGACTCGACCCTGGAGTGGAAATCAGAGTAGACTATCAGTCCAACACCCTGGCTTGTCTGGGGGCTCCCTGGGTGATACAGATTTTATGCCTCATCAGACATGGAGCATTGATGGGAATGGGAGCAGTTTGGAGGTTACTGAAAATATAAGCAAGTGCCACGGCACACCAGAGCTGCAGAAATTCTGTAGTTTTACATGCCGATGCCAGGGAGAGAAAAATTATACATTTCTAAGAAGAAATTAGGGACACGCTGTTTGTGGAACTTGAGACCATTAAAATTAAAAGTGCACACTCAGGTCCAGAGAATGCATCACCAGGAGATGTTGGTGAGGTTCCAAACTTCTAGATTCTAGGGTTGACTGGTGAAGTATTCTCCTGAACAAAGCCAGTCCATAAAGACTGAGAAGAGCCAGTCCATAAAGACTGAGAAGAAGCCATTTTCCCAAATGGCCATATCTCAACAGCAGATCACGAGCATACAAAGAAACAGGGAAACATGGCTCAGTCACAGAAACAAAATAAGATTCCAGATATGAATCCTAAAAAAAGACAGACTACTGAGTTTCTTGGTGAAGAATTGAAAGCCATTTGTTAAATATATTCAAAGAGCTAAAAGACAACAAGAGAAACAATGAGACAAAATCAGGAAATGGATGACAAAATGAGAATATTAACATAAAGATAGAAATCATAGAAAAGATCCAAAAAGACACTCTGGAGCAGAAAAATACAGTAACTAAGCCAGCATTACCCTGATATTTGAGCCAAACAGATACTATAAGAAAACTAACGATCAATACCCTTGATGAATATTGATCCTCAAGAAAATATTATAAACAAAGTAAATTCAATAGCACATTGAAAGGATTATATACCCCAACAAAGGGAGATTTCTTGAATGCAAGGATAGTTCAACATGAGAAAACAATCAGTGAACAGAATGAGAGACAAAAAACATATGTTCACTGATGGATTATTTTAACTCTACATCTGAAAATAATGATGTACTTGGTATATGTTGGCTAATTAAATTTAAATCGAAAAAAATTTTAAAAACCAAATATTTATAGCAAATAATGAAAAAAATCCACTTCAACAAGATTTAATACTCTTTCATGCAAAGAACTCTTACTAAACTAGGAGTAAAAGTAAACCAACTAAACATAATAAAGACCAAATATTTTTAAAAATCCCAATTGATGTACAAAATAGCAAAAGACTCAAACTTTCCCTCTAAAAACAGGATCAAGATAAAGTTGTTTACTTTGGCCTTTCTATCAAATATAGTACTAGAAATCTTAGCCAGAGCAATTAGGCAAGAAAAAGAAACAAAAGACATCCAAGTTGGAAAGGAAGAAGAATAATTATATTTGCAGAAAACATGATCTTATATGTAGAAATTGTAAGGATTAAAAAAAAATTAGAAGCAGTAAACAAATTGAACAAGGTTGCAGAAATGAAAACCAACACACCAAAAATCAGTTGCATCTCTATATGTTAACAATGAACAATTTGAGGTGGACATTAAGAACACAACATTTACCACAACACTGAAAAAAGTAAGATATTCAGGAATAAGACTAATGAAAGAAGTGAAAGAATCATATGCTGAAAATGAGAAAACATATGTCAGAGTAACGTTTTAAAAAACACACAAAAATAGATATCTTCGTTCATAAGTTGATAGACTTAATATTGCTAAAATGTCAATGCTGCCCAAAGTACTTCAAAGGTTCAAGGCAATCTCTATCAAAATCCCGATACCATTTTTTCCCCCAGAAATCGAAAAATCCATCCTAAAATTATTTGGAATCAAGGGAAGCCAAATAGCCCAGATAACTTTGGAAAAAAGGAACAAAGTTGGAAAATTCACATGTCCTCATTTCAATATATTGCCCGGCTAAAGAAGTCAAAATAGCATGGCCCTGGTATAAAGACAGATATACAGACCAGTGAAGTGTAACAGAACCAGAAATAAACCCTCATGTATATGGTCAGGTAATCTTCAAAAAGGACGTAAAAACTACTCAATAGGGAAAGGATAGTCTCTTTAACAAATGGTGTTGAAAAAAACTGAATATCGGGGATCCCTGGTGGCTCAGTGGTTTAGTGCCTGCCTTTGGCCCAGGGTGCAGTCCTGGAGTCCCGGGATCAAGTCCCACGTCAGGCTCCCAGCATGGAGCCTGCTTCTCCCTCCTCCTGTGTCTCTGCCTCTCTCTCTCTCTCTCTCTCTCTCTATCATAAATAAATGAATAAATAAATGTTAAAAAAAAAAAGAAAAAATGGAGTATCTACATGCAAAACAATAAAGTGGGCTCTTGTCTGACATCATCTACAAAGACTTAACTCAAAATGTATCAAAGAAATAAACGTAAAAGTTAAAATTATAGGGATCCCTGGGTGGCGCAGCGGTTTAGCGCCTGCCTTTGGCCCAGGGCGCGATCCTGGAGACCCGGGATCGAATCCCACGTCGGGCTCCCGGTGCATAGAGCCTGCTTCTCCCCTCTGCCTGTGTCTCTGCCTCTCTCTCTCTTACTGTGTGCCTATCATAAATAAATAAAAAAAAAAAAAGAAAAAAAAGAAAAAAAAAGAAAATGTGGTATATACTTACAATGGAATACTATTCAGCCTTACAAAGGAAGGAAATCTTGTCACATGTTGCAGCATGGATGAAACTTAAGGACATTCAGCTAAATGAAAGAAAACAGTCATGAAAAGACAAATACTGTATGGATCTATTTAGATGTGCTATGGACAGTACTTAAATTCATAAAAACAGAAAGTAGAATGGTGGTTAGCAGTGGAGGGAGGAGGGGCAAATGGGAAGATGATGTTTAATGGCCAAAGGTTTCAATGTTGGAAGATAAAAATGTCCTGAAGATTGGCTGCACAGCAATATGAGCATGCTTAACACTACTGAAGAGTGGTTAACGTAGTAAATTTTATTTTTTGCTAACTTTTAGAATTAAAAATAAACAGAAGCATTATCAGAGAAAAAGATTACTGCACAGGGAAAGAATGTTTCACTCACTAGGTTATAATCATTTTAAACCTCATGCATTTAGTAACCACTTCACAATAGAAATGAACTCTCGAAACTGAAAAATCCATCACAATAACGGCAGATCTCAACACATCTCTTTCAGTGGTTAATGATCTACAGACAAAATTACTGAGACTTGAACAGCAGAAGTGACCTGTGATCCATCCTGAACAACCAGGCGTGATGTCAGCGAGACGGCACAAGGAAAACCGCCCCACTTCTGTCTCCCTATACAATGATGAGCCAGCCAACTACAGAAAAAGTGCTCTGGCAGGAGCTTTGGGATCCAGGTAGGAGGCTTCAAAACCTGGGTGAACCCCAAGACTAAGGAGCGCTTCTCTGCAAAGACAGATGAGCACGCTGGTGGCAAGCTCCCTGAAGGTTTGGCCAAGCAGGAACCCAAGGGGGAGGGTAGAGGAAGAGGCTGGACCAGCCATTTCAGGGCCCTGAGGGCGCCATTAAGAAGACGAACCTTATTGTACAGCACAGGGAAATTTTATTTATTTACTTTTGCATCTTCTTTAAATATTGAGTTTTTATTTTAACCCTAGATAGTTAACATACAGTATTATATTAGTAGGCATACAATCTAGTGATTCAATACTAGATACCAGTATCTCCTGGTGCTCATCACAAGTGCTCTCCTTAATTCCTGCCACCTATTTCACCGACTTTCTCTCTCTCTCTCTCTTTTTTAAAGATGTTTATTTATTTATGAGAGACAGAGAGAGAGAAGCAGAGACACAGGCAGAGGGAGAAGCACGCTCCAGGCAGAGAGCCCGACACGGGACTCCATCCCGGGACTCCAGAATCAGGCCCAGGGCCAAAAGCAGGCACTAAACTGCTGAGCCACCCAGTGATCCCTGACCATCAGTTTGTAATGGTCTGTATCTTAATTTGTCTTTCTCTCTCTCTCTCTTTATAGTAAAGACAAATTTTAATCTTTTTTTTTTTTATGATAGTCACACACAGAGAGAGAGAGAGAGAGAGAGAGGCAGAGACACAGGCAGAGGGAGAAGCAGGCTCCATGCACCGGGAGCCCGACGTGGGATTCGATCCCGGGTCTCCAGGATCGCGCCCTGGGCCAAAGGCAGGCGCTAAACCGCTGCGCCACCCAGGGATCCCTAAAGACAAATTTTAAAACAATACAAGCAGAGTATGACACAATCACTTGTACATGTTAATTAGCTTAGTCTGGGACCCCCCCAGGTGACTCAGCGGTTGAGCGGTTGAGCGTCTGCCTTCAGCCCAGGGCCTGATTCTGGGATCCGGGATCGAGTCCCCCATCAGGCTTCCTGCACGGAGCCTGCTTCTCCCTCTGCCTATGTCTCTGTCTCTCTCACTCTCTGTCACTCTCATGAATAAATAAATAAAAATCTTTAACTAAAAACAAACAAACAAAATAAAATAATTAGCTCAGTCTGACTCTGGTGTGGACAACTGAGTGAGGGCATAGAGCAAGCACAGGGGGACAAAAGGCAGGATGGTGGTTCCCAGGGAGAAAAGTGGGCCAGCCCAGGGAGGATTCAAAAAGGAAACCAAGTCTGGATTGACTGGGGGTCAGGGGTAGAGCTGGTCGGGGAGGTCTACCCTAGGATGGGCTGAGTGGCGAGGGTACGGTGGTCGCATTCACAGATCTGGGGGCACAAGAGGAGACCAGATGTGAGTTCAGGCTGAGATATGCTTATACTGAGACAGAAATGCTTTGAGATAACCCTTCAAGGTATCATGCAGGCCACAGGCTCTGTAAGTCAGGAACAGAGAAGTGGCCTGGGCTGCAATCACAGATGAGGGAGTTCTCTGAGGACATAGGGTAGGCTCAAACCCACAAGAATCCTTGGAGCCACAAGAGATCACCCAGGGGAAATGCTCCCACTGAAAGAGAAGATGGCCAAGGCCGGCATCTTCAGAGATACCAGGACAGAAGCAGGTAGGCCTGAGAAGCAGGAGGAGAATCCGCACAGGCTGAAAGGCCCTGACTAGATGGGTCAAGGCAGACGGTGACAAGTGCCAAAGCTGCCCACAGGCCCTGCTGGACGTTCTCTATGGGGCCGGCAGGGAAGAAGAAAAGACCCTCTCATCTGAGACCTGCTGCTTCCAAGGCCACTCTGAAGGGTGGTGGGGGGTAAGAGGACCTTCACTGTTTAAAATGTAAGAGGTTGGGGGATCCCTGGGTGGCTCAGCGGTTTAGTGCCTGCCTTTGCAAAGGGCACGATCCTGGAGTCCCAAGAGAGAGTCCCGCGTCAGGCTCCGGTGTAGAGCCTGCTTATTCCTCTGCCTGTGGCTCTGCCTCTCTCTCTCTCTCTCTCTCTCTCTCTCTATGTCTATCATAAATAAATAAATAGATAGATAAATAGATAAATAAATAAATCTTAAAAAAAATAAAATGTAAAAGGTTGGGACGCATGGGTGGCTCAGCAGTTTAGCGCGGCCTTCAGCCCAGGTCATGATCTTGGAGACCGGGATCGAGTTCCCCCATCGTGCTCCCTGTGTGGGGCCTGCTTCTCAACCTCTGCCTCTCTCTCTCATTAATAAATTTAAAAAATCTTTTAAAAATAAATGAATAAATAAATAAATAATAATAAATAAATAAATAAATCAAACGTAAAAGGTTCCAATGAGACAAGACAAGTAAATGCAACTAAATCCTAACTTGGATCCTATACCACGGAAAGGAAGTGGGTGAGACCAGCAGGCCAGTCTGAATGAACCGTGTAGATGTTAGGGCTCTGGTTTTCCTGTTCTGTTCCATTAGATGTTAATTACACCTGGGGAGTCTAAGTGCACAGAACGTGACAATACTTTGTACCAGTTTCTGAACTTTTGTCATCCTTACGTTATTTCAAAAATATTTCTTTTAAATAAGACGTTTGATAAATGTAAATGCATCAAGGTCGAGCCATTTGTACAATGGCTGGGGGGGAGGAGCCTTGGTGAGACCCCGCCCCGCATCACAACATCAAAGTGATAGAAGGCAGAGAAAAACAGATAGTCCACAATCACAGAAGCAGCCAGAGGCCCCAGAGGTGCACTGCACCCTGCCCGCCCCGGACCCACCGCTCCCTGAGCCCGCGTGGACGGGACCCGCACCCGCCCCGAGCCCGCGTTAATGGGGCCCGCACCCTCCGTGAGCCCGTGCGGACGGGGCCGCACCCGCCCTGAGCCCACGTGGACGCGACCTGCCCTGCAGCCGGCCTCACCGCAGCCCCCGCTCCGGGTACAGGTCCGACCACTCCTCCCCTGGCATCCCGCAGCCCAGCACCGTGGCGGCCCAAAGGTCTCCGCCCGCCTCCCCGCGGCCCCAGAAGCCCACCGTCCCCGTCCCAGTCCCTCCCGCGCAGCCTCCGCGCCACAGCGAGGCCCAACGCCTGGAGCACCGTTGAGAAAACGCAACGCCAGGCCCGGCCTCTCGCACAGCCAAACCGGCCTGTCCCCGCTCGGGGCCCACACGTACCTGCGCGCCGGGCCGAGGTCTGCGGGGCCGGCTGCGAGGAGCCCGAGCGCCCGGAAGCCCGGGCCTGAAGCGTCGCGGCCACGCAACGTCCGGCACCAATGGGCTCCCCGCGCCTGGGCTCCTTCTGCGGCCCCGCCCGCCCCGGCCCGCCCGGCCCCAGCGACCACCGAGAGGCCCGGCCTCCGCGGAGCCTAGAGGGACCCGAGAGGGCCTCCGCCCGCAGTGGGCACGCCGGGGGCCGCGGCACTGCACCGCGGCTCAGCCCCGAGGAGCGCGGACGCCCGCGGCTCCTGCTCCCCGAGGCGCGAAGCCTCTCCGCGCCCCAGGGCGGGAGCTCGGGCAAGAGGCGGCCTTCGCCTTCCCAGCACAGGGACAGTCGTCGCAGGCCCCCGGGCACCTGGGAAAGAGGCGAGAACCGCGGCGCGGGGAGCTGCGCCCACAGCTGCGGACCCAGCACCCGGGCAGGCCCCGCGGCCCCTGCCCGCCCCGAGCTCCCCCTCAGGCAACGCCGGCTGGGAACCCGCAGGGCCTGGCCGCCTGGCCTGGGTCGTGGTCGTGGGGGCCTGACCTGCGCAGGAGGGGGACACCCTCCAGATAAAATACACGCTGACCTGTTATATTTGATGTTCAGGCAAAGCACAGGGCCAGCTTAACATTCATATGTGACTGGGAGCTCTGTGTTTCGTCTGGAGACGCACCCCCGTACCCACGGCGTTCAACAGAACGTTCAACTGAGCTTTCAAGATCCAACTGACCTTGGCGCAGTGGCAGGATCGTACGTAGCCAATGAGGTTTATCCGAGGCGCGATTATTGCTAAAGAGCTAACTGACTTTATTAAATAATTCACAAATCAGGTCACATCCCATCTAGCAAACAGAAGAATGCTCCGAGGAATGCTACAACTTGGAAGGTGTGGATAGCAGGACGGTGGGGCAAGCAACTCGCCAGCAAATGGAAAGGATTGTTCCGGGAAAGACCACTTTGCCTTGTGGGGAGAGGCAAGGGGTCTTATCTGCTCGTGACTCCCTCGCCTTTGGGGGATGGAAAGGGCCCAAGGGGAAGACTGGCACTAACAACAACCACCCAAATCCTGACTACTGGTAAAGACTACTTTTCTGGAGAAATTCGAAACTGCAATTATTTGTTTAATATTTTTGCTTACGATTTCTTTTTCTTACGCATTTTATTTTCTTAAGTAAACTCCACACCAATGTGGGGCTGGAACCCACAACCATAAGATCAAGAGTTCCACACTTTACTCAGCTAGCCAGGTGCCCCTAAATTGGAATTAGATTAATATTAATCCACAATTTAGGAACTCAATGGAATTGATATCATTCGGGGTCTATGGTTTTCTTTTTAACACCGGGGGAGCAAAATCCCCCTCCACCCCAACCCACCCCTACTGTCATACCTTGAGAATCACTGCTTTATAAGATACATGGGACAGCGGACTTCACTGAAGAAGATGACTTGGCCTCTAAACACAAATACTCCTGGGAACAAACTAGGTCAAGCGTTCAAGAGAGCCAAGTAGCAAAGGTTTTGCATTTTGCTTCTCTACCCTGGCAATTCTCCACAAGGTGTTTGTTTATTTTTGTCACTGTTCATTGTTTTGAGATTTTATGTAGATGAATTTATTTATTTACTTTTTAAAGATTTTATTTGACACAGAAAGAGACAGAGAGAGCACCAGGTGGGGGAGTGGGAGAGGGAGAAGCAGGCTTCCCCACTGAGCAGGGATCCTGTTGCAGGGCTCCATCCAGGACCCAGGGATCATAGAGCCCAGGGATCGTGACCTGGGCCGAAGACAGGTGCTTCACCACCTGAGCCCCCCAGGTGCCTCAACGTTTTTGTCACCATTGTTAAAAAGAAAATCACAGCCTGAAAATGATGTCACTTAGGTTAAGGCCTCAAGTCAGTAAAGCAGCACTTAATGCTGCACCTAACTGCATCAGCCCCACAGAAATGTAGCCCTCAACTAGTCAACATGGAGATTTCCTGGTCAGCACTAGGAAGCTGACTAATAGACCCCTTCATCCCTCTTAGAAGGGAAACCTAGCCTAAAACAATGGGTTCTTGGCTAATCGTTTCCTTTCTTCCACTGCTTCTACATGTTTAAAAACACTTCCTTTTCTGTAGCCCTTTGATGCTTCCCTCTACTTGCTAGATGGGATCCTGCCTGACTCATGAATCAGTTAATAAAGCAAATTAGATTTTTAAAATTTACTTTGTTCAGGTTTTGTTATTTAACAGGCTTGGGACAGTGTTGGGGCTTGAAGCAGAACTTCTGGCCAGCATTCAATAAGAAAACTGGGCACGCTCTCATGATCCCTTCGAAATCACCGTCTTTCTCACATTTCCAAGTCTACAGGTAAGTTCTTCTGAGTGCCACTATTTTTGTGTTTGAGCTCCCAATCGAATTGGCATTATTTATAGGGCACATAGACTTGAGCGGGCAGACAGATATTCCATGAGCCATTGAACTTGTATAGTCACCTGGAGCCCAGCTGCGCTGGCAGAGGGTTAGCCCAGGGCCAAGCCTCTTGCTTTTCAGCCCACAATTCCCTGGATGGAAAATCTCAGCAGGTTCCACAGGAATTGGTGATGCAGTGCACTCAAGGCCTTCCTGTGGCCAGGACAGACTAACATCTCAGTGAGACTCTCAATACATTAATATCCCCATGTTTGTCCTGTTTTAGGTGGATAACGGCTACTGCTAGTGAGGATCTCAGAAGCCAAAAGGCTGCAAAAATTGGTGGGTGTGGGTCAAGCACTTAAAGGCTATTAGAACACTTGCCACCTCAGGAAGACTCCCATGATAAGGTAGGTTGGTCATGAAATGGGTTAGATGAACACTAGGCCACCCACCAGCATCAAGAAAACTGCTATGCAGCAAGGTACACTGTAAAACACGCATAATCCTCAAGCCTGTGGCCCAACCTTTTCAGGTACTAGTTCAGCTCCGAAAAACCCAAAGACTTAGCTAATGGGATCCTTAAATTCTAGAGTCAAGCATGCTACCCTCTAGCACATCTGCTTGTTTTATGTTCAAGAACTATAGTCCTGAAAGATGTAGATATCTAGCAAAAACAGAAAAATCTTACTAAGCTTAAGTCCTTAGGAATTTGGGATAACTATCAGGTAAGTTCCCCCAAATAAGGCAGGACATAAGTGAGTTGCAAAATGAACAAACCTTTTAGAATCTCTAAAAGGAAGAAAGAAAGTTTTATTTGAGCCTCAATTAGGACAGCTGACCAAGAAACAGGATCTTCACAAAGGGAGTGTTCTGGAAAATGAACAGTTCTTATAGGGTTAAATACATTTCATATATTGCAAAAAAATCAAGCGACTAAATATTAACAAATAGGCAGGATAACGAGTTGTAACATCAAGGAATGCAGGGATTAGAATCATTGTCTTAAGAACCAGATAGTTCCCCTATTCATTTACCAAGGAGATATATAATGCATGCTTGGATGACTGGAGGTCAACCCCACCCCAGATATGTAACCTTTAACCAGTCACCATGGGGATTTCCTGGTCAGCATTAGGATAATTAATGATAGACACCCTCTAATCTCCTTAGGAGGGCAACCTTGCCTAGAACAATGGATTCTTTGGTAGTTTCCTTTTTTTTTTTTTTTTTTTTACTCCTTTGTCTTTAAAAACTTTTTCTGCAGCCTTTTGGAGCTTATAGAACAGGTTTATATGACAGTACATGTGCTGGAGACTGTGACTCTTCATGAATGAGCTCAAATCGAGGATGGAAGAATCGGAGAATGAGAGACTAATACTTTTCCAGAATAAATCAGCACACCAACCAACAGAACCATCAGGGCCCTAGTGCGGTCTCTTCCAGATTATAGAGGTATGGAGTAGGGAGAGTCTAGGATAAAGGGAGAAATAGGTATGAATCAAAAACAGAAAGAGACATGATAGTCTTGGAAAGATGGACTGTGGTGAAGAGAAGGAAGAGGGCAATGGTAGAGTGATGGGTTCCAGGTTCCCCCAGGTAAACCCATCTAGTGGATCCGGTGTACACTCTTTGAGCTGTTTCCTTAGACGACCTTGAGGAGTTTTCTTTTTAATATAAAGAAATTTTTGCATTGCTTGTGGTACTGAAGGTCTTAAAAATCCCTTAGCGGGTGCATGGTGCCACCTCAAAACATACATTTACCCAGAACCTCAGAATTTAATCTTTGAAATAAGAGTCTTTTCAGATGTTATGAAAGTAAAGATTGAGGTGAGTTACATCCCTGATTACCATGATCCCTAAATCCAGTGTTGGATGTCTTAGTTTCCTTGGCTTCCTGCTGCGTTATGCCAATCTTTACCTCTGTCTTCACGTGGCCTTCTCACTGTGTCTTTGTGTGTCTTCTCATTTTCTGTCTCTTACAAAGGCATCCACAATGATCTTGCTTCGAGTTTTAAGTTTCTTGGCCAAAAATAAATAAATAAGAATAAATGATTCCATTAGGTCTAGTTTAGGGCATAGAGTAGTGGGGTTCTAGGTATCTGGTATTTTAAATCAGCTTATTTTTACTTTATCTATTTATTATTATTGACTTTTATAGCTTATTTTTACTTTACTCTTACTTTAACTGGAGCTTTTTACAACTTTGGTTAAAATTTAACTTTAGGCCACCGCAGTTGTGCGCACTGGTCCCCTAAGAGGGCTCCCTCTGTGGGGAGTGTCGGGGGCTTGGGGAGCCAGGTGGGTTGGGGACTCCCATCCGTGGGGGTGCGGGCACCAGCAGGTGTCTGTGGGAGCACCAGGGAGGCCTCCTGGGCCCCTTCTCCTTGCTGCTGCTGCTGCTGCTGCTGCTGCTACTGCTACTGCTGCTGGTGACGCATAATCCCTTCAATGCCTGCCTCTTCACCGGCAGCCTCTACCTCTTGCTGTGCCTCTTCAGCTTTGAGCCTGGGTCCTCCCGCAGGGCCCTGCAGGTGCTCAAGCCAGGGGGCTACGTTTCCACCATGGCCCCACAAAGCCCCCGAGAACACACTGGCGGGCTTTTGGCAGGCAGCTAAGAATGGAGCAACAGGCATGCAGTTGGACCTTGAGTTTACTTCTGATGGGATTCCCAACCTAATGCATGATAACACAGTCGATAGG